CCCCCAGCCACCGTCTTCCTCCACATGGGGCAAGTACCACACATTTATGTGTGCTACAGGTTCGGTGTTTACAGTCCCTGTGGGGTCCAGCCTTGGGGTCTCCGCACACCAGTGCTTGCAGGAGCACCTCTCACCACCCCTGCTGAAAGCCTCCACAGCCTTCCCTCGCACCCTGGGTCCAGATGAGCTGCAAATCCTCGGCCCCGCTTTGTACAAGTCCCTGCACGTTAAATGCATGGAAGGGATCAAGGTGTTGTGATGCTCGGTAGCACAACACCCACGCTTCATGGGTGAGAGCCAGAATTGCAGTGACACCTTAGATTTCCCTTTGGTGATGAGAGTGGAGCTTAGGCCACTGGAGGGAGTCCAAAGCAAAATGAAGGAAGCCCCCTGCACCCACGTTCCTGGTGCTGATGGTCCTGTCCCCATACCAATGGAGTTGCATGCATGCTCAAAATTATGTTCATCCTGACAGGGCTGGGCAGCCTGCTGCTGCTGTCATGCATCCTCTCGGCTAAACCCCCCCAATTATGCTTTCCTCTACTCAGTCTCCCATGGGGGTGGATGCTGTTGTCAGCCTCCAAGCATGCATGACGCAGTGACAGGATGAAGCTGCTGCAAAACACGGCAGCCAGCGCTACGATAACTGTGCTGACAAACTGTCACTCTCCAGCAAGCAAAATACCCAGATGCCTCCCCAGCCACAGGGGTGGGTGGGCTGGCCAGTGAAGCAGGATCCTCAGAAAATAAGTCCTGCTGAGACAGAGGGAATGTTTAATGCCCTAGAGTCCAAGGGTAGGGTCTTGATGGCCTTCAAATGCACCTTTGCAACCAGAAAGATTTCAAGACTTTCCCTGCCGCAGCCTGGTGACCAGGACCCCTGGGAAGCTGGAGCTGAGCACAGACCTCTCTGCTCAGTCAACAGCAGCATCCACCTTGGGCTCCCAAAAGTGTGAGGAGAAATGTCCCTCATGTCTCTGCCATCCTCACAGGGCCCTCTGAAATGGATCTGGGCTGGGGTGCTCCAAAGCAGTGCACTGCCCCATCAGAGGTGGTACCTCTGGCCTGTTGAGCACATGGTTGCCTTTCCCAGTAGGTTGGACGTACTCCTGCTCCCCGTCCACCTCCCCATCTCACCAGTCCTTGAGAAAACCCTCTTTCCCCAAAAACTCCCTGGGACTCTGCTCCAGCACATCCTTTACCCTTGTCCTTCCATCATGCTCTGGCCCCAACCCGCTCCAGCCTCCATCACACAGCATCTGCTCTGTCTCCACTCTCTGCTGAGTACCCGAGAACCTGCAGCCTAGCAGAAATGCATTGGGGACCCCCCAAGGTAGACCCCCAGAAGCCGTTTGCCCTGAACGTTTCAGAGCAAGACTCCCGGAAATGAATCATTAAGTAGAATTAGCAACTGCAATGCAGAACGTAATTGATACATCTCCTTCGTATCACCTATCTGCTGCAAGTGAGTCAAAGAAGGAGGTAGCTAAAGCCAGGCTCAGTAAATACATCCATCAGCATTCCTTAGGGTGTCTCACTTCCCTTAAGAGCACAATGCCTACGATATAAAAGCTCACCTATCCCAAGGCTCCTCATTCACCTGCCACCGAGCCCTGCACACATTTCCAGTTGCACTGAAGGTAAGCCCGTTGATACGGAAACTTTTTGAACCCCTATGCAGAGAGGTCGCTCTACCGGTTGGTCTTTGAGCATGCTTTGAATGAGGGAAACATGCTAGCTCAACATCAGACGGGGTTCTCCAAAAACCAATTTGGTGTGCCAATAGGACTGCCTTCCTTACAGGAGAGAGTTGTAGCTGATATTCTAAGGGCACACAAATATGGCTGAATTTTCAGCTGCTGTGAGTTTCAGCAGTCTATAAATCCAGAAGGATCTACAGTGGGACTAAATTTTTTAGGCTGCCGGCTCTGAGCGTGTCAGATCACGTGTGCAAATCTCTGGAGGTACTCTCAATGTTCCTGCACGGAGAGTTTTCTTGTTACTGTTATGATCTGCAGACCAGGCCCTGGGAGGTTTTCATTGCAGGTCCTTCCTGCTGTCTAACAAGGGTGGGGGAGATTAGGAAGCTGCCATTCTTGTAGGACTGCAGAACATGGGGTAGAAGGGTTATTTCCTGGGCACCACTCAACTTTGGGTTTGCTGTGAAGGTTCAATAGCATCTCCAAGGAGCTCCTTTCTGACAGCACTGTTTCTTGCAGGTTCCCTGCTCAAAGATGTGCTCCAGACAGACCTCCGGAGGCTGCCATGAAACATCCTCGCAGTCCAGCGGATGCCACAGCGGGGGCTCCTGCTGCCACGGGGGCAGCTCCTCCAGCTACCAGGCACAGGGCTCCTCCTGCTGTGGCGGCTCAGGCTCGGGCAGCTACGGCGGGGGCAGCGGGGGCTCTGGCAAGATCATTGTCAGCTCTGGCGGAGGAGGAGGAGGCTCATCAGGCTGCTGCAGTGGGGGCTCCTCAGGCTACGGCATGGGAGGAGGGTACAGCGGTGGCAGTGGGGGATCAGGCCAGAAGATCATTATTAGCTCAGGCGGAGGAGGAGGCGGCTCATCAGGCTGCTGCAGTGGGGGATCCAGTGGTGGATCTTCAGGAGGCAAGATCATAATTGGAGGTGGAGGTAGTGGGGGATCCTCTGGATGCTGCAGTGGAGGATCCAGTGGTGGGTATTCCGGATCAAAGAGCATAATTGGAGGTGGAGGTAGTGGGGGATCCTCCGGGTGCTGCAGTGGGGGATCCAGTGGTGGGTCTTCAGGAGGCAAGATCATAATTGGAGGTGGAGGTAGTGGGGGATCCTCTGGATGCTGCAGTGGTGGATCCAGTTATGGCATGGGAGGAGGATCCAGTGGTGGGTATTCTGGATCAAAGAGCATAATTGGAGGTGGAGGTAGTGGGGGATCCTCCGGGTGCTGCAGTGGGGGATCC